TCTCCATACCAGAGTATTACGAGGATGTAGCCGCGCAATTGGAACCGTTTATTTTCGAATACGTGTCAAAATGCCGGGGTAGCATTAGTGCCGAACATGGCATTGGCTTCAAAAAAACTAAATATCTTCATTTGAGTCGAAGCTCTTCCGAGATTCAAATGATGTATGATTTGAAGAAAATGATGGATCCGAATGGCATTCTGAATCCATATAAGGTGTTAAAACCGATTGTAGAGAAGTGATGATTATTGTAAAAATAATTTGTAAACACAAATGGTGTAAATATTTTATGTGTCATTTGAACAAAGTCTATAAAAGATTAAGTATAGTCATAATAGCAATTATCTAAATGATTATCTTTATGAATGTTTATAAAAAATGTTGAGGTATCATTGCATGCTATTATAATAGTATTTGGCTTACATGGATGCTGACTTCACGTATAAAGTTCTATATGCTTCTCTTGGCTATTATCCATCTACCGATAAAAGTAGACAAAACGTTTCGGTGACTAACGCCTCACTCGAAATAGATACAATTAGTAATAGCTACGAGAAATACCAAAACATATGTCTTTATATAGAGTATTTTAAATATTTGTAATTATATATATTTTTTTAATATATACAAATGTACCTGATGTATGTAAAGAAAAGATTGTGAGTGCTTTCCAGTTATGTTATACTATGTCTTTTGCTGAAAAGGACCATATAACTATACTGTAGTCAACTGTAGTGAACTGTAGTCAACAGAGATTTGAATGTTAAAGAAATGCAAAAATATTTCTTATTACATACACACCCGGGAAAAAATGTTATATATAGGATATATTTTAGTATATATAATTGTATATAAAATATGTCAATTTTTATATAAAATTTTGTATAATTACATATAATTACATGTAATTATATATGGTACATTTTTTTTTTCCCGGGCATGCGTACTTGCCTGCATTTAATTTAGTCATGCTCTTAATATTAATTAAATTTTATACTATAGTCATGCTCTTAATATTAAATAAATTTTATACTATGAAATTTTATCTAGGAAAAACGGTGATACAATGACATAAATAAATTGAAATAAACCTTTAATAAAGATTTTATTTTTGGAATTGATGTGTTTTTTAATTCTGTTCCTTTCTCTAATCAAATAGGACTGACTTTTCGATAATAAGGTTTAATTTTATTAAAAATGTAGTATATATGTGATATATATGTATGTGTGGAACACAAATTTTAAGATGTGGAAAAAATGAGTAAAACCAAAATAATGAGAAATCAAATAATTAAAAATTAATCATTCGATTCTTTCACTCTCTCTAATAAGTCATAAAAATATAATAAGATATTTAAGTTTAGACATTTGTTTAGTTTTATTAAATGTTACGATATAACATCATTTATTATCAATTTGAGCGATCCTAGAAAGAACGAGAAATCGCGCGGGATTTCTATAATCGTGCGCATGTGCGCGCGCCGCGCGATCGAACGGTCTCGAAAAGAGCGGCAAACTGAATATAAATCGGTGCACTGGTAATTGTTGCGCAGTTAGTCGCAAAGAGGAATTCATGCTTGGAGGAAGCGAGCCTCGCAGCAAAGATCTCTTATTGCGCAGTTCGACAAGTAATTTCGCAAATCGAGCATCCAATATCGAGTGTTAACGAACGAAACGAGTGATTTTTCAAAGTCGACAAGGTGCGTATTACGACTTGCCTCCTAATCACGCACAGTCAATGATTGCTTAATAGTCACGCAGATTAATTGAATTATTATGCACTTTTTGTTGTTTTAACATTTAAAATAATGATAAATAAATAATAGTAAAGCCTTTTTATATATGAAACAATGATTAAACTACGATTAAAAGAGAATTTATACATTTGTTAAGACTTTTGAGCACAAGTTGTATCGTTTAAGATTGTTTTCTAGATTTTAGGCTCATCAAAATTTTTAAAAATAATTACTTTAACTAAAGTACTTATTTAAATAAGTACTTTGAGTAAGAATTAGATGTTCATTCTCTTCTAACAATTTTAGCTTACACATTTATCAGTTATGTTATAATAATTTATTAAATATAATACAATTATTAATATTATTATTAAATCTATTTACTATATATTATATTTATATATAAATTTTAGTATTCAATCATTGCTTTCTAAATTTTAAACTCGTCAAAATTTCTTTAAACACTTAGATACTCTTCTCCAACAATTTCAACTTGTACACTTATTAAATATATTATAATTATTTATCAAATATAATAAAATTATTTATGTTCCTCTTATTATCATCATCTATATCTACAGATATTTATTATTCATTACGTCGCATTTAGATTTTATTTATATTCGATTATTACGTTTTATCTTTCATAAAAAAGCTCTCCAATTAGTTCTATAATAAAAGTGATAATTTATTACATGTGACAAAAGTAAATCAGGTAAATAATGATCTGTTAATTCCTATTTGCCTGCAGAAAATCATGGCAATGGTATCGAGAAGTGTATTCCGCCACTGGTGGGACGATATAGATCGCTACCACCGTGAGATGGAGGAGCACTTTCGGAGGCTGAGTCTGCACGACAACGATCTGTGGCGAATGCCATCGCTCGTCGACAGGTTCCGGCCATGGCGCGACGTATTTGAAAATCTAGAACGTGAGATGGGCGGATGGGCAACAGTCGAACGCGACGCGGACAAGTATCGGATAGTGGTGGACGTACAGCAGTTCACGCCGGAGGAAGTCACCGTTCGCACCGACAACAAGTACATCACCGTTGAGGCCAAGCATCATGAGAGGAAGGATAGCCACGGCTATGTATCGCGACAATTTATACGTCGTTATTTGTTGCCGCATGGTTACGACATCGGCCAGGTGAAGCCCAGCTTGTCTTCCGATGGTATTCTGACCATTACGGCACCCAAATGGAAATGGGCTTTACCAGCGCCAGGCGAACGATTTGTGCCAATTATACGACATACCTATTGGCCGGCCATCAAGACCAAGTAATGCGCTGATCGAGGTGTTTCCGGATAACGCGAAAATCCAATGATTGAGAGATTAATCGCCAAAACGAAATGTCCGAATAATTTTTTTAGAACCATGATCATCCTCAAAATCAATTATAGTTTGCAGAGATGTATACCATTGTCTGTAATAGCATTTGATCTACCAAGAAACGGACAATCAAACCTTGGTGAGAAAAAAATGAATCGTTTTAGTCTTGAATGTTTGAATTTTTAGATATCTTTGCAACGAGTTTCAGACCGGTTCGCGTTGTTCGGCTTCCTCGCAAATCGTCTATTATTATATGTACACAATCGATCAGTACGATTACAAACACTTGCTGATATTTTTACTTTTGTATACAGGGCGTCCCGAAATTTGCGAATCAAAATACTGCAGCAAGACAGATATCGAAAAATTAAGTAAAAAAAGTTATATGTACATTTTTATTTGAAACAGTAGTTTTTGAGATATAAGGATTCAAATATAGCCAACTACAAATTACGTCGCCCACCAGCTGTCCATAAATCGTGTTGTAACATTAGTAAGCACGCATTTCAGCGTTTAATTTTTTGAAAAGTTTTTCACTATGATATTTTAATCGATTTATAAATTTCAGGACACCCTATATGTATATATACACGCATATATGTATATATAAATGTATTAGCATTGCGGTCTGTATATCAGCAAGGGACGAGTCACGATCGTTACTTACGCCACAGTTTAAGATAGGTAAAAAAAGACTGCAGAGTTAGATTTGTATTCTATTATATTCAAAATAGACATTCACACTCGATTGGATATAAGACGTTCCGAGAGCGGAAATTAATAGATCGATTCGATAATTACGACCGTGACTCATTCTTCGCGAGTTTGGATGACTTTAATACGTAGCGTAATGAGCCATAATTAGAAAATTGTATAAAAACATGCATGTACAGTTGCATTGTATTAATTATTTTCTCATAGCTTTAAAAGACACGAATGCGGACAACGCAGCATATTATGAAGCTTTACGACGCTGTTAGACTGTAGACATTACATCATTCGGGTTCGTCTCGGCGATTAGTTTCGAACGGTTCATGCCGCCGTGACTCGCTATTAAAATGTAACAACTGCTATTGCGTATGTTCTGTACAGCTTGTCGCTCTTACGTAATCATTCACTTAATTTATTCGTGTTATCGTTAGCTTGACAATTCGATTTAGAGTTTGTACTTATAGGTTGTTTACGTAACACTTCTTTTTGGCAAGGAATGTGAGTTGCATAAAATATGTATGAATGATATAGGTAAATCACTGGGTATTATAATTACTCGCGTCAAAGTCAAGAAGCTAGAATTATAAACGAGATATTATGTAATGCACTTTATATTCGTATTAGTTAGACGATTGCAATTGTGTTCAATTAAACGCATATATAATAATAATAATAAATATATATTTCACATTAAAACGATTTTATTCTTGCGATATACTTTTCGCATAGTCATTTGTAATTTTATTCGCTTTGTATTAAGCTAAATATAATATTTTGCTAATAATATTTTCTTTAATAAAGGTTTAATATTAATTTAATTTTGTATTTTGCTATCATTATTATCATTGAATAATTGCCATTAAATTATAATAATTGCCATTAAATTTGTATATAGCTCTTATAAATTATTAATTTGCTTTAGTTATAATTATGTGTTTCTAATAATACTAGTAACGTTCCTTTTTTAACAAAAATTTAATTTCAATATTTTACTTAAACAATCATTTTTGAATGTGTAATTTCATATAATTTTAATAAATTTGCAATTATATTATTTAATCTGCATACTACAGTTGTAAATTTGACAAATATTTATTTTCTAATATACGTATAAGGCCGTGGTCCGAATCATGCTGCCAACGCTCATGAGCATTGTTTGTCTTCGTTTAACATTTGACAAACAACAAGGATGAAATGATTTTTAAGCGTTGTGAGCGTGTATCGGACCGCGGCCTATATAATATACATAAGTTTGATTTAAAAGCAATATTTTTTTCTTAAAAACGCATTTATGCTGTTAAGTATTTAAATTCTAACAATACCATTCATGGCACGCAAAAATTTATGCGCATAAAAAAAATAAGTCGCAATAAATATTTTCTCAATTTAGCCAAATCGTTATTGAATTATCCATCGAGCATAAATTACGCATCTGTGCCAAATATGTCACGAAGTCGTGCATACATTTTTCACTTTTTTCATGTTGCAAAGCTGCTATTAGACAATTCGACATTCACGACAGAATTGCATTTATAAATTGTAAGTAGAATTCCGTCGCGTGATACAGGATGTTTAAAAAATCAGAATGCACATGTATATGTACACATATTATACATTAAAATACATGCGCATATATCACGCATAATGTACAATATGTGTTTACATTATATAAAGGAGTTTGTCTCGAATTATTGGCCCTCTAGAATGGAGTTAAACCAGGCCTATCCAATTTGAGCTTGATAAAGTGTCACTTGGATGCGTATCAGCACTTTACAGTTCTCGAAATTTTACCTACATTGAATTTTTTTTAGTCGATGGCTTTGCGTTTTGGCTCCGGAGCTCAAATTGGACAGGCCTGAGTTAAACGTTTGAATAACGTTCGATTGTGATCTATGAATGCCTTTCTTACGACGGTCCTCGTTCTTCCTCGCTCTCAGAGAATGGCGTTTGATCATCTTGACTGTTCGGTGGCAGCGGCTCTTCCAAGATTGTTTCCTCTGCGGGTGCTAAACCCTGCATCCATCTAGCCTGTTCCTCGATCACCGGAATTTTCTCATCAATCAATTTTTCCATGTCTACCTTCTCCAACTCCTCTTGTATACGTCTCTTTAACGGTCCTTCGATCGCGTCCATGATTTGATATCTATAAAAGTAAGAATAAAAAGGCACAGTTAGCAACTTAAATAAAGAAAATTTAAAAGAGAAAAAACAAAATGTGTCACACAGAATCGTATTTTCCATACAGTTAAATATCGGATATTTGAGTGTTTAATAAAAGAATCTAAAAATATATAGACAGGATCAGTTTTACTATCTCTGATTAGTTCAATCAATTAATTAAATATTAATCGTGATTGGTCAATTTTGCTTAACGACAATACGATTGGTTAATTTTAATGGAATAATCGACTGATCAAGTTAATCAGAGATGATGAAACCGGTTCTTAGCCCGTTTTCCACCAATGTAGATTAATTTAAATTTAATTTCGATTCAAGTTATTCTTCATCTTTTTCTATTTTTTTAAGAAAAAGATAAAGAGTATAAGTTGAGCCTAAATTAACATTAATTCCCTAAATCCTAAATCATTCTAATTGTAACATATGACCTTGAAAGAATTTTGGGGAAGCTAAGAAACGCAAGTAAGATTATTTAACACCAAATCAAATATTTCGAGACGTATATATAGAGAATTTAAACGAAACGTTCGTTAACAATTTTCCGAGATTATCAAGGATATTAGAATTTTGTTCATTGCGTTAGACACGTTTCCTAATGCTCATTGTGATTAGATCCGTGTCAGAAAATTGCCGATTACGGACGTCGCCTTGAAATCGATGCGAGACGCATATTTTACAAGGCCGGGGCTATTACGTATGGTTTACCTTAAAAGGTTCGGTAGTATATTAACGCTCGCTTCCACGAGATAATCGAGTGTTCTGGCGCCGTGGAATCTCGCTTGGATGTTGCCCAACTCGAGCTCCAGTTCTTCTAATGTAGCGCGTTTTCGCGTGTCCAACGGCTGAGCCAGCTTCACTTGAACCCGAAAGAATTTGACGGTGAAGGACACGGTGCCGGCACGCGACAGGAAGCCGCCGATCACGCTCACCTCCCAGTGCGTCTTACCCTCAAGTTCCTGGGTGCCGACATCCAGAAGCGCGTATATCTATATAAGGTGTCGTATATGTATGTAAGTACAAATTAAATCTGCGATAAGCGTCACCTACGCACGTGCAAAATCCAAAAACCGCACACTGTAACGATTTACAAACGTGGTACCTTATGTAATGTTTACGCAACGATGGTCGCAATTATGGCCGATGCAGTTGCTTTGCGTTTAGCAATTTCGTAGACGTTTATCTATTTTAAATTAAATTATAACTCATCTATCTAAATGTTATATCTTTTCGAAATAGATACTTTTCGTATGGCTATTGCAGCAATTTTTAGATCCACTTAGAACTCTTCGATTGAAGATATGTTAATATGCTAGTTAATTAGATCTCTTAAAAAAATTATACTTACAGTTCCGTTCTCCATGGTGATGGTTATATTTCCCATGCGATAGAAACTGGCTAGACCGGTGATCCAGGTATGTGACGAGGTCATGGTGAATATACCAACGCTTTGAGTATAACCCTTTAGCTGGTATGGATCATAGCCCATCTGAGAAACCTGCTTCCGAGCTTCTGCGATCGCCATATCGAAGGGTGAAATCGAATTCGGAAAGTATTGCGGTAATTGTGATATTTGCTTATTCACTTCGCCCCTGAAATATATCATATATTGTTGAGAAAAAATATAAACATACACACAAGCCGAAAAATTATAAATTCTCTCTCTTTTTAAAAAGAATAAAGAGAAAATTTATTTATTATTGTTAAAATACATGAAACTTTATAAAAAAATATGTAATTTAAATTATACAGCTGCATAGATATTGATATTAAAAAAAAACAATGTCATAAAAAAATCTAAATTAAAGTCGGCATTAGTTTCGATTATCATTTTAAAGAATTGATTATTATTTTAATTCTTCATATATACAATACTTTTTTCCTTGTTATTTTACTTTCTATTGATTTATTCATTTCATCTTTTTTTTGTTTATCTGTTTAAATAGTTTTCGGTTTAAAGGGATAAGAAACATTTTTTAAAGAATTGCACCTTATGTTTGTATTAACTTCTTTCAGTATGAATGGTTTGATGCCGTCAAAGATGAAGCTCCCGACGGAATTGATGACTCCTTGAAACACCGAACCGAGGAATCCTAGATTCTTAAAGTCCAGGTCAATTTTATCAAAAGTCAAATCCATGTCGATATCCTGAGCTTGCAATTTGCCATCGGTGCTCACTTCCAGCCTGGCGATACCTTCGACTATTACGCCGGTAAGCTTCACCGTAAAGTCCCCTTCGGACCTTGAAATCCACGATGTCATTGTGTATAATCCACGAATATCAAGAATGTCAATCCTTACTGCGACGGACACCTCGAAAAGATAATTATTTTTATTTTACATTTCTAGTAAAAACAATAAAGTTGGAAAAATAAACATCACAAGCGCATACATATAAGATAAATTTAATCATATAGTATAAATATACATCTCTATGTGTGATATAAAAAAATTGTAAATATAAATAAAAAAAACAAAAATTTGATTATTTCAAAAGAAAGATGTAAAAAATAAAATATGTAAAATATATACACATATATAATCCAAAAGATATTTTGTATACAGAATATGTAATATAAATTATGTTTTAAGACACGTTCCTTGAGAATTTAAAAATTTTTCAGATAAATTAATAAAAAATATTTTATTAGAAGAACATATTTTACGTCTTATTTCCATCACTATACAGTCGTAGTATCGTTATCATATTTCTACTACGTCTGCTTAAAATATGATGCGCATCTTACTTTCTACGTAAAACACACACACACACACACACACACATACAAACGTACATATACTCACATATTAAATATTCGATTTCTTTATTAAAAGAATTTTAACCATAAGAAAGATTAGTTGAGAAAATTTTAAATAAATATTATATTAATTAAAATTTAACAATAGAGTTTCTATTTTGCATTATTATTTTTATAAAGAAATCGATTGATCTACGATATTGTAATCTTCATTATCAATATATAAGTATTGACTCACATAGACATTTATAATTATAAACCATTATTATATTAATCAACATTTATTATTTTTAAATTATTCATATAACTGTGTTAATAACTGTCCATAATATTGTATTAATAACTATTACTAATACTATAGTAACTATTAACAGTAGCAGCACGGCGAACTATCTTCTACACGTGTCACTATATGCACATAAATGTATATATACATTTTAGAATCTAATCAAGAGCGGAAAGGAAGTATTGTTGCATCAATTTCAGTTTCTAATATTTTCTTGGTTTTTTCTATCTTTCCAGCTGACGTTTTGTTCTAATTTACCTGCATACGTGCTAGTTCCGATTCTATATGTTCGATACGGAACTTGGACAGCCCATAAACGTTAATTTTTTTGAGATTTATCGTATTTATGGAGAAGGAATGCTTCATATCTGGCACTGGCATTGGATCCGGTATCGGCGCGCCCGGTAACCCGACCGGATCGTCTTGCTGATAATGTTTGAGGATAGCGCGAATTTGATCCCCTAGTCGCTGCTCGCCTGCGGCTATCTGAGCTGCCGTTTTCTTGTCTAGAATAAGTTATACCTTGTTAAATTAATAAGTTAAATCAACATTAAGTAAATAAATATAAAAAAATAGTATTATAAAGCCAATTTCATGAGACATGTTTTTGAGTTATACGAAATTGACGTCCAAAAATTTTTATTTATTGTTAGATGTAAGCTGGTCCAATTAATTATTGAGAATTTGCGCAAAAATTAATCATTGAGACTTACAAATGAAATAACTTTATTTTACAACGATCTATATCATAACTGCCCCTTGAACTATACATTGCGCAAGAAGAGTAAATTATTTACATGAAAAATAACGTAGCAAATAGCGTATCATAGTCAATTATTATGCAACAAACAGCCTGAAGTACGTCAATTATTTTTTAAAGCTTGTATAGTAAAAACTAGTTTTTTAAAGTTCATTTTTTTCAGTTAATTTATTTTTAAATCACAATCAACGAGGAAATTAAATCATTATACATAGTTTCTTACTCGCATAATTTTCAGTTTGATATACTGAGTAATGTTTAAATAATTTAAAAAAATCAAAAATGAGTAAAAAAGTAATTAGAAATATTACGTTGTTTGTCTATATAATATACAACTTTATTAAATTGCATTGAAATTATTTACGAAGTATCATTTATTATATAAAAGTTCAATAGAAAATGGTTGGGAAAATTATAGTCTCCCATGTCTGTTTAATTCAATTATATTATATATATTTAAACAATTTATATATTTAAATAATTATAAATATCATGTCTATCAACGAAATGTCATACCTATTGAAGCATTCTTCGCTTTTAGCTCCTCGCTTGCACAGGGGGAACACAGGAAGCAGCACACTATCAAAAAAACCACCGCGTAGACTCGCATTTCTAATCGCGTCTTGGAACTCATGTTCATCCTTTAACTTCCTCTTAAAAACACACTAATATATCATTTAACACTTGGTCCTACCGATGTTGCTACAAAAAAGCTATCATAAAAAATATTAACGCGTAATCGTATCATAAATTTGTCGGGATCCCCTTCGATCGTTTCCCGTCGTAACTTCTTTATTGGAAACCCCTCACCACCATTCACTTCTGAATTTTGTCAACGGATTAGTATATTAACACAATCAATTTTACGATCAGCTTGCGGTCACAAGCTTCGCCCTTCAACTACCAGTTCTTCTTTGTATCTGCCAAGGGTGCAAAATGCTTATCAGTGGACGAGAACGTGCAATGTAACTCCTAACCAACTCCGAAGGCGTGCATGCGTTCGACTGACTGAGAAGGCACGTCAGTGAATTTAGTGGAACGATATCTCTGACAGGTCATTGCGAGAGCAAGGGTCAATAGCTTTATCTCCACGCCTCTTCTTTTTATCCGTCTCTTTCTCCCTTGCTATATATTATACTCGTCCGATTCTGAAATCTCGTTTTAATAGAGATAGAGTTATATTCGAAAAAACTAGAAACCTTGAATGAAAAACCCAGTAAAAATCAGTTTTTTATTTTGACCCTAAAAGTTTTTCATTCGGGGAAATATACTACATTAATGTACTAGAATTCAGTTTTTGCATATATTCAAAAGATTTCTGTATAAAGATATAGCTGTAAATAATTAAAATGTAATACAATGATTAAGTGACGGTGGTCAAGGATATATTTCTTATTAGATCCGTTTCGAAAAGACGTTTATATCTTTTTTCAGAATTTTGATAAAAAATCATTTTTTTCGTAATAAAATTAGGTTTTTTACTCAGTTTTTTATTTTGAAGTAAACAAACCTGTTTTTTTTTCATCTCTTTAACATCAACTTACGTTGCACAGGTTGTATTGTGATGCGATATGGGTAGCCCCTATGATGAATTTTCCAGATGCAGTAGACATGGAATATTTAAGATTTCTATTCTGCAACAGACTTGTTCTTTGGATTATCCCCACTTTTGGGAACACCTAGCGTCGGAATTTAAACATGTACTTTATTCTAGCAATAAGCTGTAATATTTTTTTCCTATGTAAAAAAATAATGTGTCCCTAAAATCCTATATTAAAATAATGTGTCTCCAGAATATTATATTCAAAATAGATTGTATATTTTATAAACAATTTTTGTTTTTTTTTAATGAAAGAGAGATTTCTCACAGTCAAGTAATACTTAATCTGTGAATTAAATAACACCAAATCCTGGTCTATAGTAGCTTGACTATTTTATTACGCAAATTCGATACAATTCACTGATACAGTAAAGAAATAAATATGTAAATATATTATTATATAAATTCCTAGTTATAATCAATATAATCAATATTCATATAAAAATATGAAAATTATCCAATTTTATTACCAAAATATGTATCCATTATTTATGAGAAAAATGTAAAATTGTTAAAATTAAAAATTAACAAATTCATTAAAAATAATTCAAAATATATTTTTAATATTTTATAATTTTAGTTAATTTCACACATAAAGAAATCATATTGTTATTTAGTCGCTTAAAAAAAACAATACAAAAAGAGGGGTTTACGTTATTTTCAAGCTCAATTGAACCTCAAAATGAACAGCTTTCGTATCCGGTTTGCGTTCCAACCTTAATAGCATTGTTCCGGATGGTAAATGAATTTCTGTTGCGTCGTAGCAGCTGAAACGCATACTGTGCAACTAATTCGCAAGATCTGTTGCCATTAGTTTAAATTATACATATTTGGTATTATAGATATTGTTAAATTAGTATTAACTATTTGCTTTTTGGCGAAAGAATATATGGGAAATACTATACGATAAATTTCGGATATACGGATTAAAATATATATTGGTGCATAAATCATACAATATGTAAAATGCCAATTTGAGCCGAGCACCAGTTATACATATATGTGCGAAATTATTTTATTAAAAGTTTACAAAAATGTCTTCATTATAAATGTTTCGATCCTCAGTTTTGGATCATCATCAGTGTATATTCGTAATAATTTCTCGTACATCCGATTTCTTGATCAAATTCCATCTGTGCGGCACGGAAAGGTGTCGTAGTCACAGGCGCCCAGTATCTGAGGGGCGCTTTCCATCTTTGTCTTGATTGCGAATTAAAGAGATATAATGAACCATATTCACCGAAATCATATGCCATCATTACATTTGCAGGTTTAATGAGATAACATATGTCGATGTTGATGGCTCATCTAACACACAAATGACATACATCATCAACATCGACATATGTTATCTCATTAAACCTGCAAGTGTAATAATGGCATATGGTTTCGGTGATTATGGTTCATTATATCTCGTTAATTCGCAATCGAGACAAAAATGGAAAGCGCCCCTCAGACACTGGGCCTACGACTATGACAATCCGTGCCGAACAGACGCGCGTCCAGACGAATGAACCCTGGTAGCAAGCTGACGTCAAAATGACGTCATTTGACGTCAAAACGACGTCAAAATGACGTAGCTTGCTACCTGGGAAGGGACTGTAAATAATATAATACACTTGCACAGTTAAAGCCGGAAACGCTTTTCAAAAACATGATTGATGAAGTAACGCAACACTCGAAGCGAGACGAAATACACATCCGACCCGAAAAGGAAACTGGAGAGATGACAATCATGATTCTCGATTTTGCATGGATTTTGCAAGGATTGTATCTACCCTTATTCATCTATCTATACATACACGTATATTCAACTATTGATTATTAAAAATAAAAATAAAAGCAGACTCGTTAAGAGGATTAGGTGACACCACCAAAGAAAAAAGAATAAAACCAAGTTTACTCTTTAAATTTTTTAGAACATAGAATATCAATCTAAGCTAATCTTGAAAAAAAAGTGGCTCAATTTTCAATCTTTAAGGCCCGATTTTACAATATATGGTTACCTAAAGATTAAAGGTAATCAAGAAATTCATGAATGAATTTCATTGATGAATCTGTCGGTAACTTTTAATCTTTAGGTAACCATATATTATGAAAACGGGCCTAAGAATGAGATTTTACTTTTCAGAACTTTTATTCTAAAAGGTTTAGAGAATATAATGCAAGCAAAAATGTTGTCTGGTTCAGGTACGAAATTATACCCGAATAAAGCTTTCCTCGCTACAAGTTTCGCTGCATCTTTTCATTCAGAGATTGATTGATTAGTTCATACTGTCAGAGGAAGGAAAACTCGGAGTAGTGCAGTTCCACGTGCCATCTCACAATCAGGTGTTTGTACGAGGTCTGTTTGTTTTAGCTAAAGTTCTTGCACGGTTCATCTTTCTTTCGTTTCTCTCCACGTTGGAGAGGAAAAGAGAAAAGATGAACCATTCGAGAAGTGCAGCTAAAAAGAACAGGCCTATGATTTCATATCTAGAACAGAATACTGTATTTGCTTTCTGTACGAATTCGTTGTATGACGCGTGAAATTTATTTATATATGTATGATATTTATAACAGTTTCTCCAAAGAATTTTCTCAGAGGAATTACATTCGATATGAGTGTCATAAATCGGTATTCATGGTTGATTCTTATACATATTTAAGTCTGTCTTAAGATATTATAAGTCAATCACAAAGTCATATTAGCATCTTAAGACATTAAAATAATCTTAATATCATAATATTATGTATGTAAGCGTGTAATAATCAGGGAATTTAATAAATGGCGGGAAATTTAAATCGACATATCACAAAATAAATCATACACACGAAATATTTAAATCTTGACGTACTATAAACGCCGTGGGCATAGCATTTTCCCAATGATTCCTTTGCGCTCGTATATAAGTATTATAATACATTCGCATCTTCTCGAAGCAGTGAGCTGAATGCGGTGAAAAAATATCCTCACGGCCGTGGCGATGTATCACCCCGCGGATGTGTTCGTAATTACGGTCACGTGACACAGTGGTTGTGTTTATTTATAGACACGAGTCTATCAAGTTTTGGCATACGCGCATGTGCGCGTACGCTCTGCGCACGTGTGTATGTCATTACCGTACCGTATGATCGGATACTACCACATTTGTGCATGATGGGTGCTCGCAGCTCGACGAGTTTTTTCGTGACAAGCGCTAGAGTGTGTTGCTGAAACATGTGACGAGGGTCTGTCCAGGTCTGTCGTCTGTCCAGGTCGGTTTTTCGAACTTCTGACGCAGTGGACTTCTTTAAAAATAGGAGCTACGGTTCGTCGAGGGACACATCTTCGCACGAGGGACTTACGTAGGCTTTGAAGGCTGAGTGTTGTTCGTGAAAGAACAATGCTTGAAGATGTCACCTCGGAATTAGTCCCTCGATATTTTATCACGTCTCATGGTTAATGAATACGAGAGTTATGTCGAAGCCCGATGCTCCAAAATTCGTCACGGCGCTTTTCTCCTTCAAAGGGAAGAATAACGATGAAGTACGTGGAATTCTTCTCCTTCTTTTCCCCTCTCTCGAAGATTGTTCTAAATATCGCATTTCTATATGGAGCAGTATTGTCACAGTTGCTAAAAATGTATTTGTATGTGTCTCTGTACGCAGTGTGTTTTTGTTTTTTCTAGTTGTGTTTCAAGAAAGGAGATGTAATAACGATAACTCAGGTGGACGATGAAGGCTGGTGGGAGGGCACGTTGAATGATAAGACCGGTTGGTTTCCTTCGAATTATGTCAAGGAGTATAGAGCTCCAGGTATGATACTCTTTGAATGTGTTTAAATTTTAATAGCTGAAATAGTATACAATTTGATCCATTTACAATTTGTTCTTTTAACATTCTGTATATATTTTAATATACTTTAAGGTCGAAAATAATTGTATATATTTTTTATGTTATATACATACAGATAGTAATCATGCGTCGATTAAGACGTCTCCAGAAAGGAGTCCGCAAGAGTCACCTGCGCATCAAAAACTTAATCGTGATATAGTATTAAAGGATATTGTCGATTCTGAAAGAGTGAATGTAGCTGAACTGCAAGGACTAGTGAATAATTTTCTACAACCTCTTGAAACATCAACTATGTAAGTCATGTTGTTTAATAAGATGGAAGAAAAAAAATGTGTTACGTATATTGTATGATAAAAATCTGGAATTATATATAGACTGAAGAAAGACGAGTATAAGCAGCTACTTGGTAACATTCACGAGGTATTGGAGACTCATCAATGTTTATTAGCAAATTTGGAAGGAACTGTTTTGCAAGGACTCTCTGCAAGAGTAGGAAATCTTTTTCTAACTATTGCGCCGAGGCTAAAGTCTATTCATACTACATATTGTAACAATCATCCACAAGCTGTTTGCATATTAGATAGATATAGGTAGGTATTTTTCAAAACTATATCTTTTTTATTCGAATGTGCTACAAACCGAGTCTTGATCTTTATGTGAAAATTTTTGCTGTTCAAGAGATGATGCAATATTACGCTTTGTCTCTGGTTATTTTGCGATTAAGTTCATATTTTACTTTACTGTTACCATTATTTTTTCATTAAAAATTCCTGATATCATATATGCAGAATGACAATTTTAGGAAGCAAATTTGAATTTTTTGTTTGACAAATGACTGTTTTAGCACAGTGATTCAATATGGAATCCTACTGGAAAATAATGCGGATTATTAAAACAGTAGTGTGATTTCCGAAAGATAATAATCGATTGAAAATATATTAATCATATATTATTATTTTAGAGATGAATTAAATGAATTTATGGAACGCAGTGGAGCAATATCACCTGGTATATTAGTATTAACTACTGGTCTTAGCAAACCGTTTCGAAGACTAGATAAGTACTCTGCTATGCTTCAAGAATTAGAAAGATACACTGAAAAAAATCATCCCGACAGAGGAGATACTCAACGTAGTATAACAGTGTATAGAGAAATCGCGGTATGATAATTCATCTACATCTTCATTATGTGAACAAAAAATGGTATTAATGTTAAATTTAAATTTACTTGATCCATTTTATTTGTAGGATCATTGCGCTTCCATACGTAAGCAGCGTGAATTAGCACTCCAAATATTAACTAGTGGAATCAAAGGTTGGGAAGGTGAAGAATTAAATTCATTAGGCGAGATTATTCACGTCGGATCTGTTACTCTAGCAACTGGCGTAGATCGTAGAGATAGATATTTTGTTTTATTTCCTACCACACTGTTGGTACTTAGCACCAGTCCCAGGATGAGTTCCTTTATTTACGAGGTAGATTTGGAAATATCTTTGTCACATTGCTTTAAATACAATATATAAAGATTTTAATTCATGTTGTGATTATTTGTAGGGAAAACTTCCATTAACTGGCATTAATGTAACTGGAATTGAAGATACAGACGATATAAGAAATGCTCTAGAGATCACTGGTATGGCCATCAATGTTTTATTCAAGTATATCATGAGAGATAGATTCTACTTCACAAAATAAATAAGAAATGTTATTTTGGTAACGTAGGAATAAGGAAATATATCAATTCTTTGTTTCCAAGTTCACAAGATAGCAATAATTATTTCTTACAATAATTATATAATAATGAAATGCGATATGTGTGCTTTAAGGACCAATGATTGAAAGTATTGTCGTACTGTGCGCTACAAGGGAAGAAAGACAGCGTTGGATCGATCTCTTAATTCAGGAACAGTGCACTAACCTCTTGAAATCACCAACCACGCCTCGTGTGAGTTGTCATCATCCTCCATATGCTCGACTCTCGAGATACTTTGCGAAGCTCGTGAGGAGAAAAGTTATATATCCTGAATTGATGAAGAAATTATTATATATTCAGTATATCTTGAGGCCAGATTTAACTAACGTGAAAATGAGAAAGTGTAATGTGACCTATACTATTTTTCCTACTCACACTAGCGAAGGATCCGAGATATCAGATACACTCGATGAAAGTAATGTGAAGGAGGAGTCACGAATATTGCGTAAATCTTCGTTAATACTGGACGTTAGATATGTGTTAGATAATACTGATCTTAGTACTGTCGGATTAGCGAGCACTTCTTCACTCACGAATTTCGCACCGAGTGTTGATTGCGACAATCGATGTACCTTTGAGACTAGTAAGAGTTTACCTGCTAGTGCTATAATGAGTCACGTCCTGCCAAATGTTCCACTCGCGTCAAGCAAGTCGTATACATCAAATCTTCAAACACGTAATAAATTTTGTCGGGAACATTTGGAAATTTCGCATGATAGAGATCAGATTGTAGATTATAAATATTTGAGAACTATCGAAGAGTTTTATCCAAAAAACTTAGATGTCCCAGTTCAATATTCCAACCAGAATGATAACTGCGATAGCATCGGGAAAGAATTTGGAGAAACGTGTGTAAATATTAGCTTACGGTCTTCAGATTCGGGAATGGCCGAGAGTTATCACTTACGTTCATCTGAAATTAATTCCTGTTACAAGTCATATACGTCTAGTCATACTAAATATACAGATCCTGTAAGAACATCTCATAGCGAAAGCGATAATGATGAGAATAAGTTTGAACATCAATGTATTTGCACTTCGCCATTTGGCTCTACGCCTCGAGATAGTGCTCACTCGGTGGCTTCGTCTAAAAATATTGATGAATGTCCAACTCTTGTGAGATCTAATGATGTCGGTAACGATGCTAACGATAATAGTGGGAAGAAAATTCAAGAGACTGTATTAGTTCATCCTCTGATAAATTATGGAAATGTACAAGGAAAAAGGTATACGCAACCGATACCATATGCGCATCAGTGCGTAATTAAAAAAATCGGGAGACGCGTAGTTCGTCCAATACAGCCAATTATAGAGGAATATGACGAGCCAACAAATCAAGTATATTCATCTGGATTATATGCTCATTGGTGGCTCAAGAAATCTATCCCGATAGTTGGATGCTCAGAACAAGGCAAGCTTCCATGGCATGGCTGTTCCTTTGATCATTTCAGTTTTTTTAACCATGCTGGTGTTTTTACTAATTATCATTTTTTACCAAAAATCGTATGCTCTTATTTCACAGCCATGTTGTGTGAAGTAAGCTGTCGCTTTACTAACACAATACATTATACTTTATAGAATAGTCTCTCGAGAAACATCACCAATTTTTCTGCGTATGCCTTTATTTTTTATCCCGTCATCATTCACTTCGCAAAAGATTCTAGTTAGCTTGAATATACAGCTTTAGTCTTCAAATAGGTCGTGCACTTCAATAATTATAATCATAGTATTTCTCTTTTCTAGCTTGTATCTTTACATTAAAAAAATTTTTTATACTAAAAATAGACTCTGCAGAACAATAAAAAAAATATATAAATGTATAAATTATAATATAAATAACGTTCGAACAGAGAAATTTTTAGTCTGTGCATGTATATGATAGAAACAATCGTAATTATGCGATGTTATCGAAATATTACAAAATGATGCATACATATTATAGCAGACGAGCAATCAGCCGAACGGAAAGCACCAACGACCGGCGATGGAGCATTGTACATCTCCAGGGATTAAGACACCTTGGAGTATTGCATCACTAAGACCTGCTCCTCCCCTATATTCTCTTAAGAATTTTGGAAAATTAGATACTACTACAGATACATCACGCTCACCACGATCATGCAGTAAGATTGCTTTAGTATTAAATATCAAACATACATGTGAAGTTTTTAATTTATTTTCTATTGCACATTCTATATTACAGATGAGCGACAATTTGAAGAAGATGCGATTATATTGAAAGTAATAGAAAGTTATTGTCTTTCTGTCAATGCTAGATTTACTGTACATTCTGGAGAGTCTAATTGTAAGTTTCTACAAGTCAATTGAGAACTGTTAAAATTTTTCAAAGTATTTTTTATATTATGATGAAATTATTATGCTAATTTTTTAGCAATGCTAGATTATGAATCACAAAAATCACGGGACAGGATATCATTAACACATAACAGAGGCAATTGGGAATATTGTAATGACAGGTGAGTATAAAATACTATGAAAAATATTTTGAAAAAGATACATTTTTCTCTCTTTGAAACAAATATATTTAAATTTAACAATTTTTGTAAAAATAAAAAATTTGTACCAAAAATTCATCATTATGTTACTGGTCAAATTAATTAAAAAATAAAGAAGAAATAGTTTTTTAAAATTCTTTTTTTAATTATTATGCTGTAAGTTAAAAATTACATAATATATATGTTGTATCAAAAATTGTTAATATGATATTATTGTATATTATTAGTGTATACATATATTAATGTACTTTTTATACACAGGACATTATCGGAAACAGTTAAAACCTTAAAGAATCAAATGACTGACTTACAATCGCAAATGTCGCTACTAACAAAACAATTAGACGAGGAGAGAAGATCGCGACTCTCATTAGCTGCTACAGTAAAACGTAGCATGGGAGTTATAGACGCATAAGGATATCGATAACATCAAAGAATCACAAGAAAGAAGTGTTCAAAAACAAATTTTTTACGATGCTCATTTCATACGTGCAAATTTTAATCTATATGTGATAAATATAAGATAAATACATGTAAAGAAATTATTTATGTATTTTTTTAGCATGTTGTACACTCGCAATAAAAATATATTTAAAAAATTGTATCGTATTATAAAAGATTCACATTTGTTGCGTTCAGCATAAAAGCAGCTTTAAGTACTTTGGGCTGATTATACAAGTTTTAAATAATTAAGATAGAACTATTTTTCTAAAATCTAAAAATATAATTTAATCAGTACAAAATGTTTATTAAATTACTTTTTTGATGAGCGCAGCCATTGGTAATAAAATAATCTATATGCAGTTTATAATAAAAGTGGTTATTACAAATTTATTTTTATTTACGATGACTATTGTAATGTAAACAGGATGGTAAGAAAAGTTCTAATTGACAAAAGTATGTAATTTTATTATAACTTGTTAGATGGGTTGTCACAAGCAACATTAATGTAATATTACTCGTCTTTACAATATATATTTTGAATTGAGGAATATTGTGTACTTATCGTAGCTTGTTCTTTATACGTTCCAATTCGTTAACTCTACTTCGCGCGTGCTCCAATCTGTGCCAAGCCATTTGCAGTACTTTTTGACTTGCATATCCGGAACCTTCGTGTGGTTGGCCTGTGAGAAACATTGATTAAAAACGTACAAAGGGATATGGTAATGATATTGTTAAACAAATGTACACACCAGTAGAAACTTGCGTGAGATAATTAATCTGTTCACTTAATTTTGATTCCAATTGTCCTAGAGTTTTCAAGAATTGATGCGTTTGCGACTCTGCCTGCTTCAAGCTTGATTTTTCCTTGCTCAGTTCCATACAAGCTTGTCCTGTATAACACAAAAGCACATCTTAAACATAAAAGTACATATATCTTGTGTATCAAATATCCTTGCTTCTAGTATTCACATCTTTATGTATTCAGCTTTGTTTCACATGTTTGGTGCAAGTACATTATTTCAATATACCAGGCATTCATACTAGACTTTCCATTTAATAACACAAGTCGATACAAACATCATTCTACCTTTCTTAACATTCCAGTAAGTAACAAAGATAGAACAATACTTGGGTCGATTTGTATCACCAAATGAAAAGCACCCACTATGGGAACTCTCTAATAGGAGACATATTATCTTATGTTCAGTGAGAAACAAATGCAGAATGATTCTTGTATCGTGTTTCTTGCATTCTCTGGAAAGCTCTTTAAGTAGATCATAAAAATATTTGACAATTACCTGCGCTTTGTAAACACACTACAATGTCTTTCTCGATAGTCTCCAAAATCTGGATCCTTTCCATCGGAGGCGTCATTGTGATTCTTATTTATAACTGCAGTTATCTTTAATTCAAGAAATTCACGTAACACTCCTATCTCCTACAGTGAATTTTATTCATATGTTAGCCCAATTTGTTTTGATCACAGTAAGACAATATTGAAAAATGTTGAACAGCGAATGATATCGAATAACGATAAACAAATCAAAATGCAGGATCTTGGGTTGATTAGAACGAAATAAGAATAATCATCTAAGCACAACTTGTTTGATTTATAAACATTAGACTCAATCAGATCAAATCAGACCTGGCTGTGTGGTTGAACCTAACTGAGCAATCTAAACGGCCTAAACCCTAAACCAGCCTAAACTGATGACTACCTGCGTCATCTGCGATACCGACGAGATACTATTAATGGCTACTGTTCTACAATGTGCTTTTTGTTTTCTGTTTCTTGCTGTTTGTTTCTTGCCTTCTTGATCAAAAAGACAAGAGACAAACAACAAGAAACAGGAAACAAGAAGCATTGTAGAACAGCTGTTGGCCCTGGGAAAATTTTCGTGACTCGGGAATAATTGAAGAACGATGACGTTACCGACAATTAATAAAAATTTATGATTATTAACATAAATATTTCAATAATACATTATTAAATTCGTGATTTTTTATTATATCAATGCTGTATAAATAAGTATGCATATTTTTAATGCTATAATATCTTATATATTGCTGAAAAATTACAATTTTTCTCTGCAGTTATCACTGTATTGATAATCAAACTCGGACGATAATATTAAAATCACAGTTTTAAATAAAAATCGAGTATTATTAAGTTCCAAATATATATATGTACATGTTTATGAAACTAATAAATCATGAAATTACCGTATTATTAGTTTCTTACTCTCAATCACTTCAATTTTAACAGGCACACGAAGTACCAGAAGATGACATACTTGATATTGTTGGAAGCTGGCGCTAGAGGACACTAGAGGGTTTCGGGTTCTCTACGCATGCGCGTCGAAATCAAGTTCTTCTCTCCAAACAAAAGAAAGCAACATGGCGGAGTGGACGCGCGTAAACTCTACGAACGTTGAACTGCATAAGTATCTAACTATGGATATCAGGATATATTCGATAGATAATTGAGTAATAATTACAGTTTTGAATTTTGTTTCATGTTATGTATATACAGTAAGTATGTATGGACACTGGAGTCACTGGACTTCAATGCCTCAGGTTACAGACTATGGTCGGAAATTAATTCACATCGCCGGTGGAGGATTTATAAGTAAGTAAATATATTGATAGAATTTATATTCGTGATTTATTATATTTACATATACACGCATTAATGTGAGCAAACTATATATCTAATAAATAATTAATTCGATGTACTAATATTTTATTTTGGAGCATACTAGAAAATAAAAACTTGCGTTTTAAGGGTGCTTTTCAATAAGATGACAGATGACAGTGGATACGATCCACTTCACGCTGCAAATGTTTTGAAGCATTCTTTGATTTGTTAATTCGTAAAGTTCTTTCTTCTGATCAATGAAGTATTCGCAGTGTTAAATGAATCACATCCAGTGTAACAAGTGTAACAAGTGTACATTCCGATTGCCAATATTAAACAAAGAAGTGATCACTGTATTACACTGTCTTTTGCTGGAAAGTATTATAAGTGTATGAGTATAGTCGGAATATTTATATAAATCTTGTCCAATATAAAATTTTTTATTGCCAGCTTATATATAAACTTTAATTTTTACAAATCATTGTTTACATTAATATTTTATTAATAAACGATGGCATGGCACTTTTTGATTATCATACTCAGAATGATATATTATCTTGACAATATAAAAATAAGCTAATGTCTGTTATTTTTTCTCAATATTTATTAGAAAACAATGAAAAATAAGTTGAGAGATTAAAGTTAATCTATATTAACGGGCATTAATTCACGTTTTTACATATGTAATTATTTATATCCAGAATAGCTATACAGTATTACAAATACTATTACTGGAAGAGAAAAAAATAGAGGTGTGCAAATAGTTCGAATTTGAAACCAGTATGATTCATATTCAAACTATTCGCACACCTCTATTTTTTTCTAAGTAAGTTGAACTGATTGTTCAGTTTCTTGATAATAACAAAGTCACTAATAACATTATGAGATAATTAATGATATGAAAGGATGTCCTATTTGCACTGTTTGTAAAAGGCCTCGAATATATTCCAAACGTTACTAAATTATCTGTAGGGTTACTTAAGGATATAGTAACATGTAGTCGATCGTTTTCAGTGAAAAAATCAACTGTAGTAAACTTCCAATCTTCATTATTTAGCGGAAGTAAATTTGAATTTAATGTAGATGGCATAATTAAACTGGTTTTAGGATTGTCGAACTTTGCCGTGATATAAATAGTGTTGAATACTGTTTCTGATTTTTGCACGGAACCGCATGATGATATCGAATTGTTTGAGCACTGAATTATACTGCATGAACTTACGGCAACATTATCATTAACGTGATTACTCGGAATAGAACGATGACCGTTAAAAACCATTAAATGATATTTTATACTTGGGTCTATTTTCGCAATTTCTATTCTAAAGTCGCAGCAGAAGTTATTATGACAGATATTTTTTGTGATATTTTCTTCCAAAGGAAACGTTTCAAAGGTATTAATATCATCATGTAACAAAACTATTTTATCATTGACTATCATTGTATTAATTTCCCATTTCTTGCGTGATTCATCGTGTTCCTTCTGATGAGATAGTAAAATTTTTTTACTTTGATCCTTTAAAGGATCGTAAAGATCTTCATTGTATTGAGTTTCTATATTTATTTTGGGTACTTCAAATATCAATATTTCCTCTCGCGTAATTGTAGGCATTATTGCCTTTCCAATTCCTTTACGACCTGCATGAAATATTGTATATATATTTGCACAATGAAATATTTTAATTGTGAAAAGTATTCAAAATATAAAACATGTAATTTTACATACCTAAGTAAATTCCACTGCCAGCATTGCCAAAACTAGGTCTGTTATAGCCTGAGGCTAAAAGATTTACATTTTCAGCAAACGACCATCCTGATTGTAATTGTACAGCTAGAATAATCAATAATATTAGTACAAATTAGTTACAAATATACATGTATGTTTTGATGAAATTTTGAGATAGGAGAAAAGATTCTGCCATATTTTGTTTACCTGTTAGGAATGGTACTTCAGAAAACCATGCTGTAGGGTATACAAAATCAGTAACTTGATAATCCCTTGTTAATTGTAACGCGGGTTTACGAAAATATATATCAAAACATGTAAAAGTTCCAAATTTTACTCCAAAATCAGTATTAAAAGTTACTACTTCTGGTATTGTTGTCACATTAAATTGGTATTCTTTAGAAAGATTCGTTTTACGATATCTGTTTAATTATAATTAGATAAGGTATATTATAAAACTTCGAGATTTCTTATTGCAACTGTAATTATAACGAAGAACTAGATACGTTCTAACCTGGCAATAATTTTTCCTGTGCGATCAAATACAACGTTGGTGTTGTAATAGAACATTTTGTCTGTTGGGCAAGGTTCGTCAGAGCAAGGTTCTTTCTCAGCGATATTGATTACCACATAGATTTTGTTGCTCCTTGCAGCACATGATATTTTTCTCAATGCCTGTGTTTTCAAAATTCTTCTTATATAATTTCAATATATTACATTAGTTTCTTGCTATATAAAAAATTGTGTGGACTATATATCGGTTATACGTACTTCGCTAACTTTAAAAGTATCTTGACAGCAAGGTGTATAATTAGATGAAGCATTAGGAACAATAGTTGTCCAATCCTCCAGTTTTTCTCTTTCCGGAAAATTCACTGTGGTCAAACCAGCTTCAGGAAAAACGATTATATCAACACCCTAAAAATTTAGATGTCCTAAGTAATTTTTGTAACATACAACATGTTGTCAAAAATATACTAATTCTTTGATGATATAATTTGTGAATTGTTTGAAATTATTTTCTTTTAAAGAAAACTTACATAAAGATTAGCTACTTTAATAAATACCACATATGCATCAGAATTTATTTTCAACGTTTCGTTGCTGTTTGTTGAATATTTTGCAGGATATTCTACTACAGCTGCTATATAAGTTGTTGCATTTGGTGTTGATGTCTGTAATAAAATATGTAGAATTTATAGAATAGTTTGCCGAAGATATTTTAGAGAGAGATCGAACAGTATAATTAAATATACTAAAAATGTATGTACTGCTAAATATCACTGCTAAATAGATAAAAATTGCTTATGTTTACCTGATGCGATAGATGTGCACATACTACTAGTAGATAAACAATAATCCATTTCTGATTCATATTTTATATTCTCAATTACGTCTGTAAAAAGAAAAAAGGACATAGTTAATTAAAAAATAATTATATAATAAGAAATAATGAATAATTTACATAAAAAAATTATAATTTGAAAACAGATCATATATAAAAATTGAAATTATAGATTTTTAATAGCTTCAGAAGTATGCACATAAGTTTTTTTTTAATTTAAAGGCAAAGGAATTTTGTATTTATTCTGAACCTATATTTTGGCAAAAAAAGAATTTATATGTAAGTACAAAAATATAAAGCATTATTTAAGATGGAACAAAATGCTTTTTTTATGAATTATATAAGAAAAGAACTATTTTTAAATTGCTATTTCTAGAAAAAAACATTTTGAGTAAAAATGCTATATCTGGAAAAAAACATTTTGAATAAAAATAAAATGCATTTTAAAGTTAAAAGTTGTACTTTAACGTGACATGAACCAAATTTAGAAAAAAACTTGTTGCCGGTGCCTTTAACGCCGTTTTCTTTATAAAACTTATGTTGCTGCAGGCAAAAATATATCAGAAATGACTCACGCTCGTCTTGCAAATTTTATCGGAAAGTGTTATCTGTGTGTAATTTTTCGCTAATTATTGGAAACGTAATCCTCTAATATCGTGGTACTTGAAATGACGCATACTTACGTATTCTGGTAAAACTTGAAAAAATTTTGGAAAATGTTACGCCACGATAATTTTAATTTTTATGTATTAACTTAGACAATATAAAAATATGTTTTTTAATCTGAAAATTAGACAATGGTATTCTCACGTATTTTAAAAATCGAGCTATTTTTCGTCGATATTGTGAAATGTTATGACGTGATAAAGCAATTTGAACATCCGATTCGGTTTTAGAGTGTCAAAATACATAAGAATAGCGTAATAATATGACATTCGATTGACGTTTTGTTAACACAAATTTAATAAATCATTCCTGTATTCACATTTGAATAAAATCTTCTTTTCCAATATTGCGTACTTGTAAAACACTACTGATCAAATTTGCGAGAGAAAAGGGCAAAGCCACAATATCCTACATTATACACAAACTGTATAGTAGATTAGACAGAACGAATTGAAGCAATATGTGATATAATGGTATAAATCTGTTGAAAAAATAATTGATGTAATTACCTAGAATAAAATTACTTATGTACGTATAACTGCAGACAAGTTTCCTCTTCGCGCGAGCTTGTCATGTACGTAGCGTAGTACTACTGGTGCACATTCGCACTTCAAGTTACCTATAGAAAATCATATTTTAGGTTCCCTTTCCACGATCCTGTTGTGATCGTCAGCGCGACCGGTGGCTCAGTTTTTTTCCTCGAAGCGTTTTCAAACGAACAGCAGCAATTAGATCGGAATTAGTTTTTCTCGCGCATACTGCTCTGCATATCCACGAACTCCAAAAGTTCATAGGTTAACGCGTTTTCTTTTGTACTTGAATTTGTAGGAGTTCGCGAGACTTGACCATATAAGAGAATTCAACCACTTTAAATATCATACTCAAATTTCACGTCAACTTGTGGCAATTTATAGTCTTGATGGCGAATCAGTTTCAATTATAATTGTTAATTGAATTTTGTTTTTTTTAATACGTTGTCTTATTATAGGAATGTTTCTTCACAATGTTATTTCAAATTCTATAGGTCATCAATTAGTTATGGTTCGAAAAAATACATTGAATACATTTCTCTGCCATTGTCTGATATAAAATTTTGTTTAATTGCATAAATAATATTATAGATAGACTATATTTTTTAAATTATTATTCGATTTTCTATAAAATATTTTCCGAGTTAAAAATCGTGAAATTTTTATAACAGATCTTCTGCCGTAATGTTTTTATGTTCGTATTTTTATTTGACAGCTTTATATACAAATAGTACCATAATTCTTGATAAGATAAGATCAGATTCACAAAAAATGTAAAGACAATATAATGATTGATTGATCGACAATGATTTGATCATCTGTAGAATGAAGAAAAAAAAAGTAATTCTAGAAAAGTCTTTTGGTGTTATATTCTTTTTTAAAAATTATTTATGACGGCTTATGACATTATTTTAGAACCAAGCTTTAATTTTAATATATCGTTGTGGAAGTACAAAATTATAATACATTTATTCGTATAATTATTTGCTCGAAATTTGAACAGAAGGATAAAAACTGTGACGTGTATATAAATTATATTTTTCACGAGGATTCATGATGATACGTATCGATCCGGAAACGCATCACCCAATAATGATATTGTTGTCGTCTACGAATGAATATTCGGGTATCTCTAGATTGGTCATTGCTGGGCCCTTCCGTATACGGCCGGCTGCATCAAAGTGTGAGCCGTGACAAGGACAGAAAAATCCGCCAGGTATGATGCCGGCGTTTGGAATCGGTACGCATCCCAAGTGTGTACAGATACCCAGCACAACCAGCCACTCCGATCTTTTAACTCTGTCATTGTCCGTTTCTGGATCGCGCAGTTCTGATAGGCTCACCGCTCTTTCCTGATCGATAATTGATTGTGACCTGCAATATTAGTTCTGCCAATAATCCTATATTTATTATCTATCAAATATCGGTAGAAATTTGTTTTCACAGAATTTTATTTAAAGAACTTATTTCTATATATATGTTTATTTTTCATGCAAAATAGAAGACACTTTTTAGTTTGCGTTTATATTTTTAAAGCTTTATTTTTAGCTCTTATTTAAGAGATATAGTCTAAATTCTAAAAACAAAGTGGTATGAAATAGTATTGGCGGTCTTCCTACTATTACTATATCATAACCCGTGTGAAACTGGCCCCCCAATATTAAAAAATCGAATATTTTTTTTGCATTCGTTTGCTCATCGTTTGCTCACGAATGCTCCGTCGGAATTTTCGTTTGCTCACCCTTAGTTCAAAAGTTACACGAAATTTAAATTATTAAAAAATTGAATATTTTTTTGCATTTTCGTTTGCTCACGAATGCTCCTTTAACTTTTGAACTAAGGGTGACCAAATGAAAATTCCGACGGAGCATTTGTGAGCAAACGACGAGCAAACGAATGCAAAAAACAAATATTCGATTTTTTAATTTTGTGGGGCTAGGGTGAAAGTGGCCCCCCAAAGCTTAAATTTCATATAACTTTTGAACTAAGGGTGAGCGAACGAAAATTCTGACGGAGCATTTGTGAGCAAACTATGAGCAAACGAATGCAAAAAAAAATATTCGTTTTTTTTAATATTGAGGGGCAAGCTTCACACGGGTTATATCATATATATGTGATAATTTTGACGTTATTTAATTGATGGTCATTTCTCGGTAGCTTGATGTGTATTTGTCTTACTCCGCTTTTTCATTGTTTTAAAGCCAATTGTTAACATTTTTTTTAATTAATTTTCTTACCGATGGTAAATAAAAATAGGTTTTCCACGCCACTTAACGACTAACACTTTTCCCTCCGGTATACCATTTAATTTCACTTCCAATTGAGCCTCTGCCAAGAGATCTCGTGAAGGCATACAAAACAACACATAATGTAGTAAGTGAGCTTTAAAACCATATAATCCAGCAACACAAGCAACTGAAAACATTGTATTTAATTATATACATATATCTGACTTAACTGAAGATTCTACAGAAATATTTATTGTTTTCATAGAAGAGACATATTTGATGATATAAAATATTATAAAATATCGATGATACAGGAAAGATATGATAACATTTCTTAGAAATATTACCAAAAGAGCACATGCTTCTTAACGCTCTTCGTTCATCAAGGTTTCTTGTTTTGGGATCCTTCAAAGATTCTCGTCGATATTCATCAAAATTGGGTCTTGGTAAATCAGTATAGGAATATCTGCGCAATTTCTTAAAGTCTGATTCAAAATAATACGAAAGTAATTATATACAAAGAGTAATTATAAACATTATTATTCATGAAAGACTGCTAAAACTAATTATCACGTTATTCTTTATTGATTACTTTTATTATTGATCAGCATTCTATCATGATTTGTAAATATCATTGTGAAATGATTAATTGTTGATTTACTGTATGTGACTGATTTTCAACTATGACTGCGTTCCATTTAACGCTCGCAACGCTCGCGAGCATCGTTTATCCTTGTTTAACATTTGATAAACGATAAGGATGAAATAATCCTACGAGCGTTGTAAGCGTTAAGTGGAATGTAGCCTATGTAAATTATAATTCATAAATAATAGATTAATTAAGGTCAATTAATTGATGGGTATGATTTGTCTTTCCTTGAGTGTACATAGAAAGTCAAAAATTCTGTGAAAGGGACGCTATTGTGCATCTCTTATCGAAATATCAAGCTTTTTTGAATATAATTTAGTAATATTATTTACATTTCAGTATATCTCAAATTTTTCCCAAGATAAACTATGTAACAAATTTTACTTTCCACATAAATACTTACAGTTAACTTGGTATAACTGTAACAAGGATGAGAGGTGTTTATCGTAATTCGCAATAAAAATACTCAATACGTATTTCCTTGAAAAAAACATTTTTAATAGTAACTTATTTAATATATTTATTATTATATCGCTGTAGAATGTTTGACAAGTAATGTCTGAAGTTTCGTAGAAATTTTATTTTTTCTCACTTCAATTGTCAAACAAGCAATTATGGCCATGTTCGTATATTACTGCCAGTTGACTGCCAGTACTAAAAATCTATTATAGTTCCCGTTATGTATAATATACTGTACTGACAATTGGCGGTTATATATGAATACGACCTATACAGTATATATTGATATAAATATATATATTATGACATATAAATATATAATTTATGACATATAAACAATTTCGAAATTATAACATATACTATGTATATATATGTATATATTATTAATATATTATTAATATATATATAATTATAATCGTATATATTAATATATTAATATACTTATATGCATATATATTAATTTAATATAATCACAATAATAATTTTATAATCAACAATATTTCTTATATTACTACAACAAAATTCTAATACATTTGTATATGATTATATCAAAAATATATTTTGCATTTATATACACAATGTTTAAAAAATTGTGTACATCAATTTCTACAGATGCCGCAATCTGTAAATTTACAAGAAAATGTGCTAATTAAAATTTAACTTTTGATCTAATTTCTTTTCCTTGATATTGAAAAGTAGAAGCAAAGAATTATTGAATTATTTATTTAATAAATGTAAACAAAAAGTACATGATTTCTGGAAAGTATGTTGCATAAAAATATATATGCAAAATATATTTAAAAATAGATAAAAGTATATAGACGTGTTGCGTGTATAAATATATAATTTATAATTTTGATAACAATAACGTTATTAATAATATTACGAAATAATTAACGGTATAAAATGTTCTATTTGCGTTGTTCTTATTAAAGTTCCTCGAATATATTCCAAATGTTACTAAATTGTTTGTTTTTATATTTGAAAACATGTTAACGTGTATATGATCGTTGTGAACGTGATCAAGAAATGTCCAATCTTCAAGCGGAAGTAAATCTGGATTTAAAGTAGACGGCATAATTAAATTGTTTTTATAATTGTGGAATGTTGCCGTGATCTCAATATTGCTGAATAACGTTTCTGATTCTTTTACGGAACCGCATGATGAAACCGAGTCGTTCAAACATTGAACTATACCGCATGTACGTATACCAGCTTTAACATCACCATAAAACCGATCTCCGTTAAAAGTCACTAAACGGTATTTTGTATTTGGATCTACTTTTGCAATTTCTACTTTAAAGTCGCAGCAGAAGCCATTTTGGCAGACAGTTTCTATAGCATTGCCTTTCAAAGAAACTGTTTGAAAGGCTTCAATAGAATCGCGTTTTAAAAGTATATGCTGAGTTGTCCCATGATGAAACGGTATAATTTTCTTTTGATTCGTTGCAGAATCCATTGAATGATAGTTATTATATTTAGTTTCCTTTTTTATTTTGCTTATTTCAAGTATCAATAGTTCCTTATGCGTAGTTTCAGGCATTATTGCCTTTCCAACTCCTTTACGACCTGCATGAAATATTGTTTTTATATGTGCACAATAAAATATTTTAACCGTGAATAATGTTTAAATTGTAAAGTGTAATTTTACATACCTAAATAAATTCCACTGCCAGCGTTGCCAGAGCCGGGTCTGTTATAGCCCGAAGCCAAAAGATTTACATTTTCAGCAAATGACCATCCCATTTGTGTTTGCACAGCTAGAATAATTAATAATATTATTGTATATGTTTCAATGAAACCTCGAAAAAAGGGAAGAAGATTCAGACATTTCGTTTACCTGTTAAGAATGGTGCTTCAGAAAACCATGCTGTAGGATATACAAAATCAGTAACTTGATGATCTCTTGTTAATTCTAACGCAGGTTCGTGAAATAATATATCAAAGCATATAAAAGTTCCAAATTTCACTCCAAAATCAGTATTAAAAGTTACTACTTCTGGTATTGTTGTCACATTAAATTGGTATTCTTTAAAAAGATTCGTTTTACGATACCTGTTTAATTATAATTAGATAAGGTACATTATAAAACTGCGAGATGTTTTATTGCAACTGTAATTATAATGAAGAACTAGATATATTCTGACCTGGCAATAATTCTTCCTGTGCGATCAAATACAACATTGCTATTGTAATAAAACACTTTATCTCTTGGGCAAGGTACATCATAGCAAGGTGCTTTCTCAGCAATATTGATTACTACATAGATGTTATTGTCCCTTGCAGCACATGATATTTTTTTCAATGTCTGTAGTTTCAAAATTTTTTTATATAGATAATTTCAATATATTATATCCATTTCTCGTGATACAAAATTTGTATACAATCTGTACTGTACACCAAATATACGTACTTCGCTGACTTCAATAGTATTTTGACTGCAAGGTATATAATTAGCTGAGGCACTAGGAATAATAGTTGTCCATTCTCCCATTTTTTCTCTTTCCGGCATTTGAACTGTAGTCAAACCATCTTCAGGAAAAACGATTATATCAGTATTCTAAAAAAATATTTAGAGGTTTTAAATAATTTATGTAACATAAAACATATTGGAAAGAATGCTGATTTGTTGATATAATTCATAGAATGTTTGAAACTATTTTTTTTTTAAAACTTACATGCAGACTAGCGTTTTTAATAAGTTCAACATATGCGTTAGAATTTATTCTCAAAGTTTCACTACTGTTCGTTGAATATATTGGGGGATACTCTACTACAGCTGCTGTATAAGTTGATGACTCTGGTGTTGATTTCTGTAATAAAATATATAGAATTTATAGAATAATCTTATCATTGATATTTCAGATCAAATAATATATAACATGTTAAAAAGGTATATCATTGCTAAATAGATAAAAGTTGGTATGTTTACCTGATGCGATAGATGTGCACATGTTACTAGTAGTAGATAAACAATAATCCATTCCTGATTCATATTTGATACTCTCAATTATATTTCTGTAAGAAGAAAAAAGATATAGTTTATTAAAAAGAATTATGTAATAAAAAATAAAAAATAACTTACATAAAAAATTATGATATGGAAATAAATCGTGTATAAGAATTAAAATTATACAGTTTTAACAGCTTTAGAAATACGGATGTAAGTTTTTTAAATTTAAAGGCAAAACAAATTTATATTATAAAATCAATTTCTATCTTTATATTCATTTTACACATATATTTTATTAGAAATAATATTTTACATCAAATTTAGGAATATCTTAGTATTATTTCATAAAGAAGTAACTTTTGTTTGTAATGTGGAGTACTTTACAACATTTCAATGAAAAACTTGAGTTCCTAACAGATATTTCAACTTAGTATTGATCATTATAAGTGAAGTACGCGAAGTTTTTGCTTGGATACATATTCCATTGGAAGATTACGGTTCCATTTCATCCTTTGATTGTGAAGTTCAGGATTATACATACCTTTAGATAACTTTTCATGAATTTTGACTCTTTGACTTTATTCTTTCTCGCCTTTCAAAGAAAGTTTTGGTTTTAATATGGATTTCAACATGATGTATAAAGAATGTAATGTTTAACATTGACTCTCTTTGCAACGTTTTTAATTATTCAGAATTTTATACATTCAATTTGTTTCCAAACTCTTAATTTATTTTCTGTTGTAAACAACAGAAGGCTTAGTATAGTCGAAACGTTCCATGCATTGCTTATTAATAAATAATTAGTTTTAATTTTTGATTTAATTAATTGCTGTTTGTTTGACCTTTTTATCAATTTTATTATATTTACACTTTTATGCTAGGAAATTGATATTAATGTTCTAACAGAAAACTCCAACATACAAAAAAAATTTCTTATGTTAAAATATTCACACAATATTGCGAACGTCATGTTCACACCGTATTTATTTAGGTTATTTGACTTTAAACTTTTAGTTTATTTGTGTATGGAACTATGGATATTTTCACTTCATAAACTTCAAAGTATTTCTTATCAACTTTTTAAATCGACGTAATACCAATTTGGTTAAGTGCAAAGAAATCAGTGTTTGTAACAAAGAATAAAAAGAATGTCTGCTCTGTATGTGAGTATATATACAAATTCTAAACAGGCACGAGACCATGAGTGCATGAGTCAGTTCCAGCTGATTGTGGCTGCGTTCGACTTGGTCGCTTATACGCTTTAAGCGCGTATAATCATTATTCTGCCTTTGTGTTATTTATTGCTAGCAATAAAAATTTATAGTATACGAAGTGTGAGTTATAGATTTACTCGTAATGAATAATGGGACACATTTTCGTCGTTCATTAAATGTAAAATAAGCATAAAAGCGTTGAACGCATTAAAATCAGAATACAGCTTGTGAATCAGATTTCCTGCGCATGCGTGACGAATTTGGTTCAGTACTCACTGTATATGGTTTTTTATCAAATTTTTTCTAAAAATTATATCTTAAACATTCTAAAAGAATTAACAAGTTAGCAAGAAAGTGATGCAAAATATATAAAAATTTTCATGATTGGGTAGTAATTAGTTAAAAAGTTAAAAAGATAATTCTTGATTTAATTACTTATAAACTTTAATTTATTTACTTTTTTATTTTTAGTTTGAAGTTTTTTTTATCTTTCTAAATGTTAATATTATTTTTTATAAAATCTTAAATATTAGAGATTAGTTTAGAAAAAGATCATTGTTCGATGGGCGCTCGTCGGATCGTGCCCAAAGATGACCATGGATCGGGTTTCTTTAAAACTCGACCAGGATAGCTGTCATTGAGATCCGATAATCTCGATTTGACGCAACTCGCTAGTTTGCATAAAGGAGACACTACCATGTCTCCAGATGGTCTATATTCACAGAACGTTATCAGTACTTTTGTTACCATGCTATCCTTTTACGTCTAATAAGTGATAAAGAATGAAAAATACTTTATTTACATATAATTTTTTAAAAAATGTACAGGTATTCCCAGCACAAAGAGTAATTTACTTACATTTGTAAATATTACATTTTGTTTTTCTCTCATAATATATACATATATCAAAATATAAAAATACTTATGCAAAAATACTAAAAATTAGAATTTTATTGTACAAGAAATATCTTTATTATTTCGTATAATTTACAAATAAGATATTAAATTTATTTATTGATTTATATTATAATTGTTTTATTATTTAAAGTAAATTGATTTTTAGAAAATAGAATATTTTACTTTAATAAAAATGTTTTTCCAAATTAATTTTTTTATTTAACTTAAGTTAATTCAATCAATAACGTAACTTTGACTCAATTAGTTTTTTGTTTATTTAACTTTTACCTTAATTACATTAATTTTATAAGCCATATTTAATTTTAACTTAATTTAGTTACAAAATATTATTAATTTTGACCAAACTCTGACTATTTTAATTCATTTATTTTATTTGCTTAAAATTATAGTTGCTTTGCCCAAACACTCTGACCTACTCGATCACTGAAATCCGTCAAACTTTTACCCTCATAACAACCTACACATATGTACATACTGCTCTGCAATCTCTGAGCTATGCATTTGCAAAAACCGGGAAACCCTAACAGGAGAACCTTGCCAACCTTGCCAATACCTTTGTTTCCCGCAAATTTTGATTTTAATGATATTTTGTATATAACATGCTACATGGAGTAAATTTAGAAATTTTCAGTGCTACAACACAGTTTTAAGAGGGAACCATTTCTCTCGCGCATATATACAATGATTTTCAGTTTTTTCGATATATCTTAAAAATTCGATCGAATAGAAAAATAGAAGCAATAATAGAAGAAAAAGTGAGATTTCATATAAAATAAAAGATAGTTTAAATGTCAAAATGACCGAGAATAAATTTCAAACACTTTCGAAAGAATAAAAAGTTCGGCTAAATGCTGATTAACTTAAATCGAGGATTAACTTATCAAATAATAATGTTAGAAGTAATAATATTTCCATAGTGTTCTACACTACATAGTCGAGATTCTACAAAGTGTCCCCTATAAATTTTGTTGGTAAAAAAATTTGACAGAATGTTGGCAGAAGTATAGCAAAGTTTGTCAACAAAATAAATTGTTGATTGATGTCAGAAAAACAAGTTTTGGCATATTACACAGTTTGATGAAAATTGGAGTTAGAGATAGAACAGAATCTGTATTCGACTTCTATTCTATTTTTGCCGCCAATTTACTGTCAAATTGTGATAACAAACGCAATCGACAAAACACGAGCTTAATGCTTACACAAATAATGCTAATTTGCTAGCAATTTTTGATCGAATTTACTACCAATCTACTGTTATACTGCGTATAGTTTGTTTATTAACTAATTAGAAATTCTGCAAATAAGTATCGGTTGAATTAATTACACTTAGCAATTGTTATAATTTTTAAGTTAGTAAATCCGATAAAAATAACATTGCGTGAACCGTTAACGTATATAATTTCGAGAAAAGAAGAAGACCGATAAGTTTTTAGTAATTAGCAAAAAATTATCTGCGCGTACTAATTTTTCGCTAATTATTAAAATATTATTTTTAGCATTTCTTGGAATTTGAAAGCGTACGCTTATGTATTTTATCATGATGACTAAATTAGAAAATAATTGCCTGAAAAGAGTTAAAAAGTAGTTAGCATATAATAGCATAATAGTATCCTTCCCAGGCGACATTTTGTTAGCACTAATTTAATAAAGCATTCCCGGGCTTACATTTGCATAAAACCTTCTTTCTTAATATTATACTCCTAGAACATGCCAATGAAGTTTGTGAAAGAAAAAGCTACAATATTCTAAATACAAACTACAAGGTAGATTAGATAGAACAAGTACAGGCAACGCCTAATGTTATAAAGTAGATACGTTGAGAAAAATTAATATAATTACCTGGAGTAAAATTACTTATATAAATATAAAACAGCACTGTAGCGTCTGTAGCACGACAAGTTTTCTCCACGGGAGCTTATCATGTGCGAGGCGTAATGCCGTACTGGTGCACATACACGTCGTTAGAAACTTCAGGTTCCCTTTCCCACAATCCCGCTGCGCGATCACCAGCGCAGTTGCTGATGTGGTTTTTTTTTCCTTCGAAGCGTTTTCAGACAGACATTCCATTGCGGTGGGATTTCCACGAATATTGTGCTGCATGCTCACGTAGTATACTAATTGAGCAACAGGAAAGATAAATTTATCTATTATTAGACAATGTTATCGGGAAACTTAAGTCTAGTCTACAATATGCTCTTTTGTTTGTGCTTCTTGTTTTTTGTTTATTATTATTTTTGACTTCTCACCTTTTTGTTTTTTATTTGTTTTTCGTTTTCTAATGCTCGAGACAAAGTTGACGAATTTTGAAAGAGAGAGAAATGAAGAGAATGCGATTGTTGGTAAAACAGTCGAAAAGAAGGAAAAAGGCATAAAGTAAAAAACAAGAAACAGGAAGCAAAGAACACATTATATATGAGGCTTTAGGGGTGTCGTAATATAATTTATGTCAGACATCAAGGTAGAATTTTATTTTATAACTGTATATGCTGTGTATGTTTTAATATATATAGATATATGTTGTGTGTGTGTGTATTTTTGTAGTCAGATTCTTCAAATATATATCAAATATTATATCAAACAGTAGATAAAATTATAAATAGAAAGTTTATAGATTGTCTAAAGTCATTTCCAAAAATATATTAAAAGGCTTGAAACACATGCATTTTAAAATATACACATACACTCATATATCAAACTACATGGCTCATAAAAATATAAATAGACATTATTCCAAGAAATCTGACATGTATTATAGATCATTCACAAAGGAATTAATCTATAAACTTTTATAAATATATGATTTTAAGTCTTTGACTTGTAAGAATCGTGAAAAATTTTTTATTCATAAGTTGCTCATATAATACAATTTATCATGTGAAAGTGCGAGGACGATTGCTTTTATGCGATTATCTTAAATAAAATGTTTTATATTGTTCGAAAAAGTATTGAATATACTCTCGTGCTATTACTTGATATAAAGTTTAATTTACAGAAAATTTGTATAAATAAATATTGTAGATATAGGCTATATGTTTTAAATTTTTACTCGATTCCTTATTAATTACTGTTCTCAAAATTAAAAAAAAAAGTTGTGGAAATTTCCATAACAAACTCAGAAAAATGTGTTTACGTCCATGCACGTTCCTATTTGATAGCTTTAATTATGTACATAAAGTGCAATAAAACTAAGATAAGATAAGACTCAACAAAAAGGAAAATAATTTTTGACCAAGGACTTTTATATTTAAGAAAAAAAATTTTAATTTGCTACTTGCAAGAGAAGAGTTTAGCAAGTATGAAGTTAAATAAAATCTGAAACTTTGAAAAACTATAGAATAGATGGATCTAATAACATTTAGAAACGTTAATATCGATTTTTTTCAAAAAGGTGTTTTTCCATCTCTAAAATCGAAAATCAACTGCTAAAAAAATTATTTTGCGATTAGATCTATTCTATACTTATACAAAATCTTAGACTTTTTGAATTTTATATTTTACGAACTTTCTTTGTTAAAAACAGTTTTTTTGTTAAATAACAGATGGGTACATGATATTTGAATTTATATCATTATATCGCATTGTTTTTTGATGGATATAAGATAATCACGCTGTGTTATTAATTGTATTCTATCTTTTTAAAGCAGATGAATCATATCGTAGGAAATGATTAAGTCTTTTTATTAAAGATATTTTTACGGAATTATCTCAAGAGAGTTAAACATGCTGCTGATAATGATGACTACAAAAATAAACCGTTTTAATCACATAAGATATATGACATACGAAAATATGTCACATACATATACTTAAAGAAAAACAGGAAGAAACTGCTACTGATAAAAATTTAACTTCAACATACATAATAATATACGTATTTTGTTTACATCGTGTATAAATAATCCATAATTAAAATTTGATTTTATTATATAGTATGGAAAAACATTCAAACTATGGAAAAACAATTTAAGACTTACAAAGATTTGATACTAAATTAAATAAATAATTAATTAATAAAGATCGAAAAGTGATCTTAAAATCAGAAATGATTTTCAGGTATTGAGCAATTCAAAATGTTTCAATTTGCTTCTATTGATGATCGTAATAATATGTATGTAAAGAAAGAATTGGATTACATTATCATTTTTTTATTTAAAAACAAATTCTTTAAACATTATCTTACGATGAGCATAATAATTACGTATCGATACAGGATAATATCGTAATGTGAAAATGTTGAACAAAGTGCAAAATCTTTGGAGGAATGCGCGATTGTGTGAGGCGAAGATATTAAGCGCGTGTAAAAATAAAAAGAGGACACCTGAACATTTATACCTGGATCTAGAACATTTTATAAAAAGTAAAATACCGTTTATCTTTTTCAATAAAATTGCAATCGGAAATATCTCTTTTTTTTCTCTTCTTTTTGCTTTATTTATCGATTTAACTGTTTTATAATGCATGCAATGTTAAGTGTAGATCGAAGAAAATTGATTGACAGTTAATAAACGTTTTGCGCGAACTTATAATTAGCAATGGTGATGTTCCATGAATATTAATTTCAATCCGCTAGATGGTAACTCAATGTGCAGATTCCGTCGTGCGGTACGTGTGTATCTCAAACACGTCTATTAGCCACAACGTGAGCGGTTCGAATCTCGGATAGACATACGCAACTCTGCAAAATGTTATTACGTTCGTTAGTATACCGATCGTGATAAAGTTTGTTTAATGTGCACTGAGTGCGCAATCAGTTCTGCCAATGAAAATTAGATAATCTATAATTTATATTAAAATTTAATGTAAAATTTCTTAAAAACTCTCTTTTGTTAGACAATTTATAATTGGCATTAGAATATATAGAATAGAATTCTAGAATTCTAGAATAGATTATATCTCTTCTATTTTAGAATAGAATAGAGTTCTATTTAGAATTTTATGTCCAAAGCCTGCGGCACACGATGCACACGATGTATTTTTTCCTGCCAGATTACTTGTGTTTTAGTAAATTACTAGAAATTTTGCATTCTGTGATGCAATTCTAATGATTTACTAAAACGAAAGCAATCCAGCAGGAAAAAGCGTATCATGTGTAAAATAATTTGATTAAAAGAGATTATATAAAGAAATTAACTAGTATGATGTAATATATGATATATATATATATTTAGTAGTATTGATTATTTAATATCTATACATTGAAAAAAAAAGATTGTGTCTGAATGTATTTCAAGAAATAAAAAAATCAAACCATTGATTCGATTTTTAATTGTGAGTTTAATTTTTGTCAAAGCACAGTAATTGTATCGTTACAACATCGTTCATTGGTTTTACCTCTGGCAATGTAACTGCAAAATGCTATTAACGATAAAAACCAAAATATTTGCGTACGATGTGTGTATGTGGCAAATCTCTATTCTGTGTCTCTTTATTCTTTTATGAGGAATTTATCGCTCGTTTCATTCAGAACGAGACAACGCGATTGAAGTATCAGTTTTGGTCAGACTGATTGTTAGCAAGTGGTCCGCCGGGTCCAATTGAAGTTTCAAGATCGATCGATTTGTTGCACCAAGCCTATTTAATTAGTAGTCCTAAAGCCTGATCGAGTTGAGGACTGTTAAGTGCGAATTAGACTAACCCATAGATTAAATCTTGACCAAGGATTGAACGAGCTCGTCTGCGACTTCCATTTACTCTCTTATCCTCGTCTGCTCCATTATGCGATTAAACGAGGCCGTATCATCCAACTTTTACTTTTTGTAGCTAGTGTCGGTATAGCAAGAGAATTTTAAAGTAGCAATCTCGGTCTCGAAAATTCGACAGTCTTTCTGATTGTCGCTTTAAATAAAGGAAAATAAATATAATACATAAATAGAATATATTATTTAGTTTTAATTATTTATTAGTATATTATTTGTATTATTGTCACGTTATTACTTATTATGTTGTATTAAATATTAATTGTGTTACGTGTTTACATGTTTTATGTGACTCTCATATTTTATCTTTGGTAATATATTTAATTATATAAAAAATGCATATTAATATATTTTTTAAATTTATTTTTGTTTATTTTAAGTTCTTCCAATATATTTAAATCTTTAGATAAAATTCTTATTTTAAAGATTATATATTTATATATATAATGCTGGAAGCGAATATCTTTTTATTTTAATGTTATTATACATTATAATTTCGATTATAGTATGTTAAATACCTTTAACAATAGTAAAGGATACGAAATTAGCGCACGGAAGAGAGAAAGTTAGTATGAAAACTATTTAATAGTGTCAAGTATTCTTGGCAGAAGTGTTGAATTGAAGATCAGAATACCACTAAAAGTTTCTCCATTTTCTTCTCAGGCATAACGTAGTTAAACCTATGATTCAACGCTCGTATCCGCCTGTATTGTATTTCAACTAGTTTAATCCTTTTGGTAACATCGTTGGAATGCGATGCGGTTGTGAATGGCTGTGGTGTCAATCCGCTAATGTGTCGATAACAGAATGTAATAGATCCTAAATGTCACGCTCTTATCCAAGCGTAATTATTGCAAAAGTAAATTATATTACTATATGTTACAAAGCATACAATGTAAACAAGATATAATTGAGGGGATGGGCGGAATAAAGGCCTAATTACAAAGTTTTCATATTACTAAAAATTAAAATAACTCGCTACTTTTTTATTACATACAAATGAGTACAATATCAAATGAATTTATGTAATGTTTTTACGAAGTTACATGTTATAATACTTCTCTATTACGATAAATATTACATGAAAAAGCTAATTGCCGGAAAGAGGGCCTAAGTAGAATTGTGCCTTTATCCCACCTAATTACAATTGTACAAGCTGTCTATAAAGAAAAAAAAAGGGAATTTATTATTACAAGGACGACACATTAAAATAAACATTTTTTAACTAGTGCCAAGCTACATCTTTCATTCTATGACATAAAGAAAAAAAGGGT